AAACCCTAAACCCTAAACCCTAAACCCTAGGCCCTATAACCCCTAGAAGCCCTAAACCCTAAACCCTAAGCCCTATAACCCCTATAAGCCCTAAGCCCTAAACCCTAAACCCTAAGCCCTATAACCCCTAAGCCCTAAACCCTAAACCCTAAACCCTGCGCCCTAAACCCTAAACCCTAAACCCTAAACCCAAAGCCCTAAGCCCTATAAGCCCTAAGCCCAGTTAAGGGGCATTGGGCTCTCTGGGAATTTCCAACGAACCTTTGGGCTTACCCCTGGGACCCTAATATACCTACTATATACCCTATATATACCCTTAAGGGACCCTAGAATCCCCTAAGGGCCCATGTTAGGCGCCGATGGGTTCTACCTTAGAAACGAACCCGAGTATGGGCCCTTAACCCTGGGATCCTTATATACCTACTTTATACCCTATATGTACCCTTAAGGGTCCCTAAAGGTCCCTAGAAAGGCCTAAGGGTCCACATTAGGGGCCCACGCCCTAAACCCTAAACCCTAAACCCTAAACCCTAAACCCCTAAACTGTCACGCTTCTAACCTTTGGGTCGAAGGCCTCTGCGCGGCAACTGGTCTTCGCTGGCGTTTCCAAACCCTCGAAGTACCTCAGGCTGTCGGGGTTTAGAGTCTAGGGTTTAGGGTTTAGGGTTTAGAGTCTAGGGTTTAGGGTTTAGGGTTAGGGTTTAGGGATTAGGCTATATTGGGGTTTAGGGTTTAGATGGATTTAGGGATTTAGGGGTTCAGGGTTTAGGGTTTAGGGTTTAGGCTATAGGGGTTTAGGGCTCAGATGGGTTTAGGCAGTGAGGGATTAGGGCTATAACAGGGTTTTAGACGGGTTTGGGGGTCCGGGGCTTAAGGGTTTAGGGTTGGGGGGCAAGGGACTTAGTAACTAGGGTGAAAAAATTGGGGTGTGAGGGTTGCAGATGTTTTAGGGTTTAGGGTTTAGGGTGGTTCCGGTTTGAGCGGTTCTATACTATAACCTAGAACAAGGAACCGTAAGGAATAGTAGTACTAGCTATTCAGGCATCTAACAAGGTCCCTGTATAACCTGGTTTTTGTGTTCAGCCGAATGTAGGGGCCTTAGTAATCAGAACAGGGTTTTGGGGCTGTGATTTTCATAAGAACCCACTCCCAAAACATAGTATAGGTAATTGTAAAAGCCCCTATACCCTAAACCCTAAACCCTAAACCCTAAACCCTAAGCCCTAAACCCTAAACCCTAAACCCTTTAAGGAACAGGTCCCAAGACCGGTCGCGACATCAGACACCCGAAACCCGAAGGGCTTAAAACGTCCAGCTTCTGTCCCCAATAAGCCAGGAAAGTAAAAGGATAGGGTTTAGGGTTTAGGGTTTAGGGTTTAGGGTTTAGGGTTTAGGGTTTAGGGTTTAGGGGTTCAGATTACTATTAAGTTATAAGAACCCAAACAGTTTAGAGGTTGGGGGTTGGGGAACTATAAGTCTGTATTAAGCCTGCAGGGCTCATAAGAAGAGGGAGGACGGTTTAGGGTTCAGGATTTTGCGTGAGGTTTAGGGTATAGGGTTTAGGGTTTCGGGTGCGCAGTAGGGTTTAGGATGGATTGAAAGCGCAGGCCAAGTTTAGGCCTTCGGGGTTCTTAGGGTTTAGGGTTTAGGGTTTAGGGTTTAGGAGAAGTATGAACCGGCGGAGCAAAACAAGCATAAATTCACAAAAGAGCATCCAAGAGCCGATAAGACAGAACCCAAACCCAACACCCAAAACCCTAAACCCCAAACCCCGAAACCCTAAAACCAACACCCAAAGCCCAAAACCCAAAGTCCCAAGACCCTGAAGCCTTAAGGGTTTAGAGGCTTAGGGGTTTGGGGTTTATGGGTTTATGGGTTTACTTGGAGGGTCGGGGACTTAGTAAGTAGGTATGAAGTAAGTAGAGTTAAAAGTACCCTAAAAGGGATTCTAATTGGGGTTATGGTACTTGTAAGTCTGTAAAATAACTAGTTACTAAGTCCCCCGACCCTCCAAGTAGGGTTTGGGGGTTTAGGGGTTTACCCTAAACCCTAAACCCTAAACCCAAAACCCTGTAGTACTCTAGGCAGCCAAGTTACGCCTCGTCGAGCCTGTCCTTCTGACTCATCTTCGCGAGTCGCTTGAACCTATGGTCCTACGGTTTCAACCCCCAGTGTTTCTTTCAGGGCTAGGTTGAAGCCATGGGCCCCTAGTAAGGGTTTAGGGGTTTAGGGTTTAGGGTTTAGGGTTTAGGGGTTAGGGGTTTAGGGGTTTAGGGTTTAGGGTTTAGTGGTTTAGGGGTTTAGGGTTTCTAAGGGGGACCCTTAATAGGGACCCTTGTAGGTTATTGGGGTTAATATGGAGACTACCTGGCTATATAAGGGGTATAAGGACTATACAATGGTTATTTAAGGTAATGGGATTCAGGGTCCCTATTAGGGGTCCCTCCGAAAGTCCTTAGAGGGTTTCTTTTAGGGCTAAACCCTAAACCCCTGAACCCTAAATCCAACGTTGAAACCATGGGCCCCTAGTATGGGCCCTTAACCCTGGGATCCTTATACACACACGTATATACCCTATATGTACCCTTCAGGGTCCCTAGAAAGGCCTAAGGGTCCATACTAGGGGCCCATATACTTCTAAGCTTAAACTAAACCCCTCAACATTAAACCATGAAGTTTCTATCGGGCTTCCATATGGGAGTTTCCAAAGATAGGGGACGCTAATATAGTACCCTAAATAATAGGGTCCTTATTATAAGGACCCAGAATAAGGTACCCTAATTTTGGGAAAGTCCCATATTTGGTTTGGGAGTTTAGGCTTCCTTGGCAGGTTGGTTTTTGAGATTTTTTGAGGGCACCAAAGGTTTGGGGCTTTTTGGTCTTCGAGTTCTCGATGAGAGGTTTAGGTTTTAGATGGTTTTAGGTTTTAGGGTTTAGGGTTTAAGGGTTTAGGGTTCAGGGTTCGGGGTTTAGGGTTTAGTCAAGGGATGCGGAATGCATGCTCCCTCGAAGTGGGTGCCTCCAAGATGCCATGGTGCTCGCTCGATTCTTTTTTCTCGCCCCATCTCACCATGCTCTCACAGTGAAATCCCCGCTCACATGCGATATCCTGTGCTCTCTTAGGACATGCGGTCTTGGAACATCCATTATTGCCTAGATTGGAGGCTTTTTGATATCACATGTGGCTTAAACCTTCTGCCTTTTGGCAGCACGACCCGAAGTGGTGGCTCTTGTCAGCCAGGTCCATACAATAAAGTACGCCTGGGACCGGGAACGGTCCTTCGCAGCTATACTCTTCAACGTAGTTTTGCGTCTGTCGAGAATGTCCGGATCCAGTGCTGGATTGAATGACGCCGCATGCGAGCTCCTTCGATACGGCAATCTCGGTTAAGCAATCTGGGCTAAGCTAATCTGTTTGTAATCTGTATACATGAACCTGTGCTTGCATCAGCAGCGAACAAAACGAATGAATGAATGAAGTCCGAGCGACTTTCCCTCAAAGCAACGATTGTTCAACAAACGTCCCTGGAAATGTGGGAGAGTCGAGTCACAGTGCACCGTCTGGTGAATGGCACACTCCGCAGGGACAGGCATGGAAGCCAGCAACTTCTCCGGCAGCGATGCTGTGGAGCACGACAGCAGCGCTCTGGACACCCGATCAGCATCCTCACGGCCAGCGGCACTCGGCCTTTCTTGCTCGCCCTCGCCTGGCATGTCAGCGTCCTGCAGAATTCTTTGATTGCTTATGGAGCTGCGCGAAAAACCGAGTCAACAGAGCACAAATATTACTAGTGCCACTTGTCTCCTCCTGCTCCTCTTCCTCGTCTAGCCTTGACAAAAGCTCCTTGCAGGCCACGGTGGCAGGATCGTCATTCAGCTCCTCCCACTGGATGTCGCCCTGAAAAGCTGTATGATTGTCTGAATCATTGCAGAACCGTGTAAACATATGAGACACTTTGATTGCTTGAAATGCACAGCCGTGCCTCGTTGTCCTGCTGCTCGTCGTCCTTGCTGCTGTCCTTTTTTTTTTTCTTGTCATCTTGTTCGTCCAGCTTGGACAAAATCCCCTGGATCTTGATGAGGTCACATACCTCCGTCACGTCCGCAAGCATTAGCAATCTTCTGATCTGCTGGCTTTTTGTCGAGCTCTTCGGCATCTGGATATCGTGCTTCCGGAGTAGCTCGTGCAGCGATGCGCATGTTGTCTGCAGGATCTGCTTTGTTTGCACAAGGTAGCACAGCAAGGAGAATTCTGTGAATCCCCTTCTGATCAGAATGCAGGACCCACACTTGTCCTCTAGGACCTTCTCGCACACATGCAGGCTATAGCCATACAAGACTACCTTGAATCGACATGTGCAACACTGCAATGGACGACTGAGCTAATTGAACACGGTAGTTGATGCTAAGCGGCATCGTCGTAGCCAAAGCGGAGCTGCTGGATCAAATCCCTGCCAACGAAACAATCGGAATCACTCTTTCAGCTCAATCAAACCATGCCAACAAAATAGCACCGGAATTCCCGGGATCGCCTTCCGAGGTCCAAGGCGAGGGCTGGAGTGGATAGTCCGGGGCGCAACGGGTCCCAGAAGTCCTCTTGCTGCTTGCAAGGAACTCGAGTTTCATCCTGCTGCTGCTCTGGCAGCAGACCCTGAAACTTGTACGGTAGCTGCTTCAATCTCACAGCCTCGGATGATTAAGCTTGCACGAGTTAAGGCAGATGCCACGTCTGCAAGCCGCAAAGGATTTGATGCGTCTGGGCAACATACAGAACTGCCGGCGTCTTGCCGGTGCACATATAAAAGGTGTTCCGGCACTTGAACAAAGCTCCGGCCTGGAAGCATGCCTGAACCCAGAAGTCCGCTGCTTCCTGACTGGGGTCCTTGCCCTGCCTCAGATTTGAGAAAAACACACATTATGACAACAAGCAAATCATAACAGGCCACCTTGTGTGCAACCATGTAGCTCGCTGGCCTGGATGAAACCCTGCATGGTGTTCAGGCAATGCTGGTTGTGGTAAAAAGCAGAGGTGCTGGGAAAGCTTTTCAAGATGCCGTCCGTGTTGACGAGCCTGCCTCAAATCAAATCCACGAATTCGGGTGGTTAGGCTGATGTTTCGCACACGATTCATTTCATGCCAAGGAGCACGTGGGAGCACTGCTTGGGCACCAAATCTTCGGTTTGATCCCTGGCGCTTCAACTCCAACCCAGTCCTCTTTGCCTAGTTGAACGGGCTTCGGACTTTCTGAGGAGTCCCCGCACACACGGTGCTTCAAGCAGCGTACTCCTACTGCATGCAGGCTTGCCAACCCTCCACAATCTGCTCGCCCGGCTCGCTTCACAGCGTCACTCATATCTCCAAACATGCTTTCCAAGGAAGCACTTTGGCAAAAGTCTGGGCTCCAAGCAGACACCATGTCCTTGCTTTCGGTCGTCATGCGATACTGGTTTTTTTCCATGCAAGCCATCACTTCTCGGTAATGCTGGTATCGCGTGTGGTGGCAATTCGCTGCCAAAGTGGCAGCAGATGCCGCCTTGGATTCCATCGTCAGCACGACTTGCCATTCTGCTTTCATTCTCTTGAGGATGCTCTGCTTGGTGTTGCCATCGTCGGGCTCTTTTGTGGATATGAGGCCGGCTGCACAGTGGGGGCTGGACCGAAGGTACAAGCTGTACTGCAGCAGCTCGTGAACAGTCGAAAGGTAGAGCCCCAAAGCTTCGCTCAGGATGCTCTCGTATGTGATGCATCTTCGAAACTTGACTTTGAGTACCTCCGAAGGGACAAAACAACGAGCACAAAATTTCAAACAAGACACACGGATGCAATATTGATGCTCATGAGTGCCATATATTATCAGTTTAGTTGCTCTCTCCTGGTTGCCTATGCACCTAGTCTACTTAAGTTTTGAATTATAGAGCTAGGTTTTCGGGGTTCTACAAGTTGCAGAGGCACGGTGCGGTTTGGGTCGGGACCGCTGCTTTCTTATGTGGAACGATAGAGCCATTGTGCTCAGGCACAGAATCCAGGCTGGCGGGCCACTGACAGATGCAATCTTCCCTACTAACTTAGAAAAACTCAGACCACAGCTTTCTACTTACTTCAGTATTGATGGATTGTAGTAACTAATAAATCTACCAGCAGAACCTGACGGTTTGGCAGGCAGCGACAGTGACATGTGGCCCTAAAAAGCGTTACACTAAAGGCTAAGCCCAAACTTTACATACCCTAACTAAAGCCCCAAACCCTTGACCCTAAACCCTAAACCCTAACCCCCGAGCCTGCGACGATGTGGGTGCGGCCAAATCTGGAAGCATTCCGAGCGAGCTGCTGCTCAAGGCCGCGGTGGCCAAACCACTCAGCTTTGTCTCTAAAGAGTGGCTGTTTAGCTCCAAAGTGAGGTCGTGGATGGCTTTCAATGTGTTCGTCTTCTTTTGCTTAGTTGCGGGCACGAGATGCATCTCTCTGTTTCAAGATTGGTGCTTTAGACGTACAGATATACCAGCTACAAACCTGCAGTCTGGGCACAAGCTCCAAACAGAGCTCCCGGAAGGGCTCCAGCACGACTCGGGCCACACGGAAGATGCCGAAACTCAGCTCGTTGGTTAGAGCCTGCAGGGTTGGGCTTCGGGGGAGGGGGGGTGTTTCGATTCGAGCAGGCAGGCCTTCACACAAAGGTCAACTGTTTTGTCGTAGGACTTTTGGTTCTGCGTGGCGGCCCCTTCGTCCTCCAAGATCTTGAAAGGGTTCTTTCCGACCTGGGGAGATCGTATCATTTGATGAATGAACTTGAACAAACTCAGATCAGGTTCAATTGCGGTTGCAGGAAATCGAGATATCGGGGCCTCCATAGCCGACCAGAAGATAAGGAGCAATGTTGCACTCATCTGGAATCGCTTGGCCGTGTGGGAGAATGAGCACCACCTGGACCATGAGAAGGTCTCGGAATTAAACCTTGCAGAGGGCTTGACAAGTCTGTGAATGCCAGGCAAGTGACCACGAGAAGTAGTTAATTATTGCAAAAAATCGTAGAAGTCTTCGCAACACAGGCACGAGGGCTGTATTCCTGTGCAGCCAAAGTACTTGGCAGTCTGCCCGAGGATTTCCATTACCCTCGTGAAGTTCAGCTTGATGTCTGTCGTCTCCTCCATACCGTTCCTCGGCCGAAAACATGATGAGCGGGCAACACGAGGGCAGCTGTTAATACTAGTCAATTGATTCGACTAGCATCTCTTTCAGGATGTCCCGCTGGAACATTTCCATGAGGATATCGTCGGGACGAGCCTTTATTTTTGTTGGGTTGCAGAAGACAGCCGACGATTTCACAAAACTCACGAACTCACAAAACTCACATAGGCGAGAGCGGGCAGCAGCCGAGTCACAACATCCAGATACCTGGCTCCAGCCTCGGCCAGGGTGGCGGCAAACCCGGAGGTATTCCAGGGCGATTTCTTGGCCCTGAAGAGCCACCCGCACAGAGTGGTCATTCCTGAGATCAGAAGGTTAGCTGGCATCGCCGGCATAATTGAAACAACTACCCTCTGTAATTTGGCAGCTGAAGCTCTCTTGACACACGGAGAACAGGACGTGACTCTGCCCTGGTGCGCATGCAGCTTGTGCCTAAGTTCGGGTTGGTGTCTTTAGCTGGTACCATGGACGTTGTCATGGTTGGGCCATGCTTGCACCCGGACATTCACTGTGCAAACAAGAAGCAATTCGTCCCTGGTTAGGGCAACACTCGCTCCCAAATGAGCCAAGTATTGGTAGCAGCAGAACATTGGGCCTCCTTGGTCCGGACAGATGACGAGTCTCACATGGTCCGTGCTCATAGGAGTGTCCCACTTGCTGATTCCAGTCTGGCGGTCAAAGAGGAAGGCCAAGGTGAGCTTGTGCAGAAATCGCTCCTCCTTCTCCGGGTCTGCAGGAATCAGTGGCTGCCGGGGCCAACAAAGGTCCAAGGATACACCCACGTGGGATAAGATGTTGATCAGCGCTTTGAGCTCCTGTCTGCTTGAGAGACGGTCCTGCTTGATTGCATTCAAAGCCTTTGGCCTCGGTTCTAGCTCCGGATTGCAGTTAAACATCAGCCAAGAATAGGACCTATCAGTCAACGAATCCAGCTGAGCTGCAACTTCTTTCTGAGCTCACCCTTCTTGGGGTCGGCAACGAGGTTGGTGCTCCGAGAGTTTGCCAGCATTTCTGCCACTTGTAGTTTGTCTTCAGCCGGGGCAGTCGAAGGAAGAAGTAGAGACAGCCTTTGAAGGGTCCCGAGTGAGACAACCCCCTGCACGGAGAGGACCGGTAGCCAAACCTGCCAGTGCTTCTCACTTCGTGAGAGACGACGAAACAGAATTAAGTCACAGCCGGGATGCATCCATCTTGGCTTTGGGAGACGAGTCACAAAGGACCCCCAAAGATTTGATCCTCATGTTCGCGAAAGCCTGTGGGCCAAGCAGCTATACATCCTCAAAATCAGCAGCTTTGCATGAACCGGCCTCCTTGATGGTCGTCTCCGTCTTGCGTGTGTATCTACACATGAAGTCCGAGGTTGTCCTGTGGACAAAAGCATAGTCAGCTTGCTGGGTCCCTGGGCCATTCTCTGATACCTTAGTCTAAGTGCAAGGTCCTCGTATAATTGTTTGGACACAAAGACTCCAGGCCCACATCTTTCAATGAAGAGTCCATGCTGGAAGAGCAGAAACCTCCCCCTCGCGAGATAAATCTGTCGATTGCAAGCTCGGCCCGAGGTTTGCAATCGCCCCGGAGCTTGCGGCCATCCCTGCGTGAGGCTGGGTTCGGCCGAAAGGGGTGGACATGCTGGTTGATTCAACAACATGCAATGACACCAAAAGCGGTTGTGCCAAGCGTCTTCGTTGCTGGGTGGAACTTGAAATCAGCTTGCACGGGAGGCATGTCGCTGGTCGCGATCGAGCACAGTGCCCGCTCTGCAGCCTGGCACAGCAGATGAAGCAGCCTCCTCTGCAAGCGGCTCCACGTTGTTCGCTCCTGCAGAAGCAAGCGGGTCGTCTAGAAGCCGGAGAACAAGTTAGATAAGGGGTTTGGGGTTTTTTGTGTTATTTCAGACCTACTTGCTGCGACGACTCTCGAATAATGTATTTTCGTGACCTGACAGCTTCTGTAAGGGGCTAATTAAGAAGCATTAGCAGTAGCCAAATATTGACCGTTGTCTTCCCAAGGAGCGAAAACGATTTATTAGATGTCCCTTCCTCGTCATCACCATTAGACACTAAAGAAATAGGTCAGCATGACGAGACAATCGTGCGATAGTGCAGCTGTACCTCTTCGAATCATGTTCGATTTCTCAATATGCAGAGCAAGGAAAGCTCACTGCTAACCCAGGAACAGGTGGCATCGAGGTGCTTTCTTAGGGTTGTCAGGGAGAACGGTACCGGGTTTAGAGGTTCCGGGTTAAAAGGTTTGGGGTTTAGTGAACCTACTTTCTATTTAATTTAATTTAAGCAGTATCATTGTACCTAGGGTTAATATGTATTTGGTTAAATCACGAATTAGTAGTCATGGCTAACGGATTGGGGGTTCCCGGGCTGTCCCGAAATGTCTCGTGATGGGGCAGTCGAAGAAGGAACCAAGCTGCGACAGCCACATCAATGCCTGTGGCAGGGACACGGATTAACATGCATATACACACACATAGATAGTCAGAGATATATGCACACACACATATATATATATATATGTATATACACATATATAGCTACATGCGTAGACAAGTATGATATATATATATATACATTATGTTATATTTATATATATATATATATCTTTACATATGTTTTTATAAATTACTAAATGAAGAAATAAAACTATATATATATATATATATATGTATATGTATATATTACATTATAATAGATTATCTTACCTTATATATAATATGAGTATTATTATATATTTATATTTATATTTATATTTATACTTATATACATATATACATATATTATATATATAGATATATATTCTATATGTGTATGTATAGATAGATAAATGAATAATTATATAAATCAAAAACACACATATATTAACACTATATACATATATATATATATAAATATATATATATATATATATATTTTCTTTATAAGTTTATATTTACATACACATACTTACAGAAGGGCTCGGCGATTAGGTCAGAAGCCCGAACCTGCATCATCAGATTGCCCCTCCTTCGCCAAGAGTTTACAAGCTTGCCACCTGCAACAGCCGACGTGAGATTTCCAACTGTTTGGGGTGTTTGGGAGACACAGACGGCAAGCAGACGAGCCAAAGCCTTTGTTGCAGGTCAGCATAGTCCAGAAAGCATCGCCAGCTCTGCAGACTCACAGATCCCCGCCGAATCTGAAGACAGCCTCGATTCATTAATGCATCCCATCAAAGCAAGACAGCTAAGGAGGCAAGGGGCAGTGCTCCTCGTTCGGCAGCAAAGCAATCGTGAGTGGCTCGGTAATGCACGGAGAGAGCAAGGCCCTGAGAGATTCCAGGGCTCCCTCTTGGATCGCGGGCTTGCACCCCCTGCTTTGGAGAACATAGCAAACCTCAGTTGCTCTGTGCACACGGCTTGCCCTGAGAATGAGTCCGATTTGAAGACCCGGGACCTTCTTGCATTCAGGTGACAGTAAACATGGCTCCAGGCAGTGTCAGGCCATCGAACGGTATTTTCAGCCGGTCTGAGTGATTCCGGGCTGGAGCTCCTTTGTATGTGGCCTTGCGAATCATGGCCGCGTGGATATCCACTTTCCATGCGTCTGCCACATCCATGCCAAGGCCATCCAACCTCAGATGATGTGTGACGAGCATCAGACACAAGTTTCTCGGACTGCACAGGTTGTGTCGAGTAGCAACTTCGTATACCAGTTGGTAAATTGTTGGGATCGCCGCGTCAAGTTCCAAAGTTCTTCGGCCCTGAGCAGATACCGGTATCCATTCATTTGGGATTCCTCTGGCACCTCAGGAAGGAAGGCTTCGAGAGGCTCACACAGTTGCCCTGCATCCCTAGACTCAGCAGTTTCTAGCTCCGCCTTGTGCAGTTGGAGGATTCCTCGTGCTCGGTCTGATCTGAGGTAAAAGATCTCCGTGGCGCTATATTGAATTCCGGGGCTCGCCGTCTCCGAGCTGGTTGCATCTTCAGGCATCTGTGGTGCCTCTTGGATTGCAGGACCAGGGGGCTCAAACAACCTCGGCCGCAAAGGCACCAACTGGCTTGCAGCAGCTTGTCGATGGATTGCTAGAGCCTCCTTGCAGCAGCTTCTGGTTTTCGGGTTTCGCAGAAAGAGAGAAACAGGGAATAGAGAGAAGAGGGTGTTCAACTTAAGGTGACCTTAGATTGCATGTGTTATCGAAACAAAATACTTGCATTTCGGGGCCCGTCACAGGCTCGAAAATGCACGTAGTTTGTTTCGAGGGTTTGGCTTTGTGTTTAGGATTCGAGTTATATGAAGATTTTCGGAGGGGTCGGCAATTACAGGGCCCACTCGATGATTCAAGCCTGAGCGGGTTTGTTTCGAGGGTTTGGGTTTTGTGTTTAGGATTCGGGTTATATTAAGGAGGGGCTGGGGATTACAGGGCCCAGTACACGATTCAAGCCTGAGCGGGCTGCACTTTCTTGATTCAATCATATTGAACCCGAAACCCTTGAACTCCGTGCACTGCCTCAACTTCGCCTAGCTTTGCGGTTTTAGGGATTTGGGGGTGGGGGTTAGGCGGCAGGTTTTGGGTAACATTTCTTGTGCTGAGATTTGCTAAAATAGATGATTATAATCTAGAACACAGAGGTGCATTAAAGCGATTGCCACGAAGCTCGACAGCTAGATCATTCGTGTGGATTGTCAAAAGTCACACACACACACACACTCTCTCTCTCTCTCTCTCACACACACTCTCTCTCTCTCACTCTCTCTGTCTCTTTCTCTCTTTCTCTTTCCCTCTCCCTCGCTCTAATATTCGTACAAAGTCTGGAAACCTTTCTGTGTCCCTTTGAATCTCTCTGTCTGTGACTATCTCTTGCCGGGTGTTCTTCTAGAGCACACAGCATGCCAGACTGTGCACAAGTCCTCCCAAGAAGATGGGTCTACGTCGATCTCGCCGACCGGCTTGTTATCTTGAAGAAGGGAATCCACAAACTCCATTTTTTTCTGTAGTTTCTGCTGCAGCTCCGCCTTCTGGGCCGAGTCAGACCTCGGGTCGATAAGGGCGAGCAAAGTACTGGATGCTGTGGGTGTTCTGCATCGAGCGAGCACGGTGCTTGCTCAGGCCGTGGCTCGGATAGCTGCTTCAGCCTATCTCGCATCCAATTGGTCGCAGCCATACTGAGCCAAGGAATCACCTCAGATCTCGGATTGGGAGGGTGTGCGGACCCCGGGCTACACTCCCCGCGCCGCGTCGCAGCCCGCCGCCCAAAAATTTCGAGCGAGCACGTATGTCTCTAAACGGCGGGTTTTCGAGCGAGCACGCAGGATTCCTCGAGAGGCGTCCATTTAGTGGGCTGGGGCGGCGTTTAGTAGAAAACGGTGCTCGCTCAGATTTTTTTCCCCGCGCTGCGTCGCACCTGCCCGTGCGTTTCGCCCGAGCGGGCACGTTAGCGATCGAGCGGGCACGTTAGCGATCGAGAGAGCACGTTGCAACTGAGCGAGCACGTTGGGCACCAGCGAGCACGTTCGGGTTCAAGCAGCACTGCTATTCTACTATCATATTTGACAACTGCAAAGGACATCGCTTTTGCCTTCTATACTCTCTTTGCAACAACCCCTCGGCCGAGCCCAAACCTCCTGCAAATCCCGTCTCCGGACTCGCCCGACCCCAAACCCCAAACCCTTGCATTCCTGCCTAAACACAGAAAATTGCAGCCGAGGAGCAGCCGGGCCAGCTGGGCACCGCGGGCGAAACCAAGGCTTGAAAAGCTTTTTGGAAGGGCTCCGTAGTTTACATAAAGTGTGCTAGTGTTCAAACGGGGTCTTTTGGCGACTGAAGTAGTTGACTGAGCTGGGTTTGGCCATGCTGCGGGCTCGGGGTCAGCCTCTGTTATAGATTGCAGCTCGCCTTCAACCGATTTGACTTACATTGGGAAGTAGCTTAAGCTGATCAGAGGTTGACTGGTTTCAAGGATAGGTCGCTGAAAGCAGGGTTTAGTCTAGAGTCTGCTTTGGCTCAGTCCACAGCATAGCCTCGCGAATTCTCATCTCGGCTACTGTTTGAATTTGACTATTATATTAGATGAGATACCCTGCTGCAGACGATTGTGTAACTGCATGTGACCGATTCCTGTCTCATGGTGTAATAGGAGCCATCAGCTGACGTGGGTTGTCAATCCTGCAAATGCGGGGGCCAATCTCGAAATCTCAACTACCTGAGAATCACTGCAAGTGCCAACATAAGAGGGCGATCGTGTCCAGGACTCAACGAAGCAGACACTCCGAGAGAGAGAGAGAGAGAGAGAGAGAGAGAGGGAGAGGACTGTTTTCACTGCAGACTGCAGAGCTCTGCCGTAGCCGATCGTGCTGCTTGCGGCAAACGTTGCGTACTTTGCCAAAACTGCAGCCCTCGGTCTGTGTCCTTCGAACACCCTAGATCTTCAAGCAACCTGGCCCCAGAGGCCGAGAATCTTGGATGTTGTCTCCCCGCACACACCAGGCATCTCAGCTGGCTTTCTCAGCAAGAAGTGCAGCCTGGGGGCGTTTTGCCGGGGTCGCTGGCACCTAGGATCACGGAGCAGGAATCAGCTGAACCCCTTTACATTCACGAAACCCCGAGTCCGAATGCTGCCACAGTGCCGGGCCAGTAGCAGATTTTGCAGATACACCTGGCATAGTCTGGGCCCAAGCGTCGAAAGCTCCTCTGGCCCTCAGAGACATCTTCATGAAGTGGCCCTTCCCGGCGGACATGTGGGAGGATAGAGAGCCTGGTGCTCCGAACGGAAATCAACAACGAAAAGGGGGGAGAGTGCTTTAAAGAAAAAATCAACATTTGCCTTCGATTTCCAGGTGGTAGTGCTCCGGCTTGTGCAGCCCTTCCTTGTCCAGAGCCAGGATCCATAAGCCAAGATCCGCCCTCAGATGCAGTATCCCTCTTGGACAAGTACACAGGATAATCCCGAATGCCTGCTCAATCAAATCAGAAGGCAACCAAGGCACTGCGACAGGTCCTTGGGCAAGGACTCCAGAATCTCGGAGTCGAACTGATCCATAGCGGCCTTGAACTTTGCCGGCAGCAGTCGGAGGGGATTCTCCTTTTTCGGCTCTGCCTTGGTCAGCTTGAAATCCCCGGCGAAAACATCGCGATCTCGCTCATCGTCCTCCTCCTCCTCTGCATCGGGCTCTTGATCCGACTGGGAGTCCATATAAGGGGCGGCCACCGGGCTTGCCATGTCCTTCTCGTCCAGGTCTTCATCCTCATCATCGGAGCCAGGAAGCTCGTCCTTTGCGGGAGCTGCCTTCGTCTCCTTCGGGGCCTTCTTGTCTTTGCGGCGGCTCTCCTTGGAAGTGTGGCCGTCGGCGTGCTTGAGGGTCTTTTTCAGGTCCTCCGTAGCTGCCTGTGCAAGGTTGCGTGGAGACAAGCCTCTTGCCTGGGGTCCTGAATCGAACCCACAGAAGTGGAAGGACAAACAGATCAGACAGGAGCACCTGCCGGTGCTCCTTCAAGATCTCCTCGAGCTTGAAAACCCATTGGTTTTTCCCACCAATCTTCCTGTGACAAGACTGATTCTAGAGTGGCAAAAGAAGAAGACAGTGCACACAGACAGCAAGCGTGAACTAAGATTTCGCTGAAGCTCTTCATGTTCTTTTTGTGCAGGTTCCTCACCACGGCACTGCAATCGGAGAGGGTCTTGGCCGCACAGAGTCGCACCGACGTCTGGGGCCGCCCAGTAACTGCGAATGCGGGGGGGGGGGGGGGGGGGGCGTGGCTTCATAAATTAAGATATTGATGTGTCAGGATTGCGGTTGATCCTAGGAACATGGTCCATGGCTGCTGTGGAAAGTATGTATTCAACATCAGCCCACCCAGAGACTTCTAAGTATGAATAATCTGAATTAATTACAAAAGAAAGCCCAGGAATGAACCCCAACACCCCAATCATGGACTTTCAAACATCCCGAATAAAATTAGACAAGCTGAAGCTCAAGCTCTGCACTGGGTGCCGTGGTCAGCAAGTGTTTTCGATGCTGGTTCAATTAACTCTAAGGATCCAAGCAGCCCCCGACTGATAGGAGGATGTGGGACCAAAGGTTCTACAGTACGGTTTTCGCGAGGGTTGCATAGATTAGGGTATCTACAAAGCACGGGTTCTATTGTGTGTACTTATAGCTAGTACTTCTAGTATGTATGCTTAGGGGGGTCGGAGACAAGGGCCTCGATTCGGAGCGTTTAATTATAAAGGCTCACACATGACTGGTTGCACCGAAAGCTCAGTCGATGCCTATGAGTCACAATTGCAAACCGAGGCACAATGCATAGTTTTGGGTATCTACAAAAGACGGGTTCTATTGTATGTACTTATAGCTAGTAATTCTTGTATGTGTGCTTAGGGGGTTTGGGAGATAAGGGCCTCGATTCGGAGCGTTTAATTGGATAGCCTGACACATGACTGGTTGCACCGAAAGTTCAGTCGATGCCTATGAGTCAGTAGTGCAAACCAAGGCACGATGCAACACCAAATCAGCCATTCTGCGCTTCCAGACCGTGCCGGCAGTCTTCATCTGGCAGGCGACAAGGTTGCATCATTTTTTACATGTTCGGCTCAGTCGGGTGTGACTAGAGTGCAGCCAGGTCTGTGCTTCACTTCAAACATCAAGATTTTGCGTGCTGACGGGTTGATGCCAATGTTGTCGGGGGAAAGACACTCAGAAAGTCATGGTCTGCTGGTCTAGGAGTTCATAACAATGTCCTTTCTAAATCAATTTAACCCCCATCCCCTAAGAAAGCCCTTGAACCCTGTAGTTTAATCAGAAAGACTTCCCCTCAGCAGGAATAGACCAGACAAACCCACAGCCCGTAGAGTAGACAGGCCCGCCCGAAGCACCTGAAACACAGCTTCGCTCTGCTCTGTCTTGGCACGGTTCTTCCTGGCTTGCGAAGCCCTGTCGCGGAGGAGCGACTCCTGAGAATGCGAGGGGTAATTTCCCATCAGGTGATTGAAGCACAGAGCCGTCCTTACTCTATAAGACAAGTAGCAAGCTCCCCCCCCATTTCAAATACGTCATTTGCAATGAGAGAGGGGCTGACTGCAGAGAGCACGAAGGCCATCTTGTTGGGCTCCAAATCGGATATGACAGTGCAGTCCATGGTGCGAACCATATCCTTCTTAGACAGCCCGAAAGTTGCAGCCGAGTCGTCGAAGGCCTGCTCCGATACATCACTGGCAACTGCAGACTCGGAAGACGAGCTTGGCGAGGAGCCTTGGGCTCAATGGTCTCCGAAAAAAGAGTATGATCTGTTCTAGAGGGATAGCAGATTTGATGCAGCCAAGTTGCTTGACCTTCTTCGGCCTTTTTTGTCCTTCTTCTTTTTATCCTTTTTTTTCTTGTCCTTCCTCTTGGCGTCGCTGCCAGTGGCCTTCTCCACAGCGGTCACTCCTAGGACACGGGCTGAATGCAACGGCTGCTCTATCTCTGTACTGTATGACACGGAGGCAATGATTCGATGTAAGCAGGCAAATGTTGCAAAGTACATGGGAGTATCTGTGTGCGTCTCAGTAGCACTAATGTAACAAGACTTTCGCCGAGCTTCCGAAAGCCTCGTCCAGCGATCTCTTCGCAGTTTTCATCAGGAAGCTCCGGGCGTCGGGCTTCTCGTTGGATCCCTCGCCACCATCGGAGGCCACAGACTTCGTGCTGAGAGTCCTGGCCGGGTCAAGTGGCTTATGAGTCATTCTGGAAAATGCTTTGGGTAATTATTTAGGCTTCTATAGCAGGGCTTCGGTTGCGATTAAGTATTGAGAAAGGAGGGGTTCAAGGTCTTCGGGTTCAGGGTTCGGGGCTTTGACAATTTGAGATTCGCATTAGCAGGTTGAGGGCAAGTGTGGTAAGGGTTTAGGGCAGGAGGTTTCTGGTTTAGGGTTCAGATCTCGGGGTTTGGGAATGTAGGGCTCTAGGCTGAGGGATTTAAAGGTCTCAAAGGCCGTAGAGCAGTGGAGCTCAGCTCTGGAGTTTGCGTTTTTGCGTGTTCGGCTCCAAGCTTAGACTAGAATTTTGGGTTCGGGGTTGTAGGTACGGGGCTCCTGATTCTAATTGTAGTAGAATGAACCCGCAGCAGCAGGAGCAGTAGCAGTAGTAGAAGCAGCAGAAGAAGAACAGTAGTAACAGCAGCAGCAGTATCAGTAGCAATAGTTATCGTTGCAGCGGCGGCGGTCGTGCTACTAGTAGAAATAATTCTACTACAGGCAGAAGCAGTGGCATTCGCCGAAGCAGCAGCAGCAGCAGCAGCAGCAGCACTATCAATAATAGTACTAGCACAAGAATTAGGTCGTGGTCGTTGTCGTCGTGGTGGTAGCAGCAGTAGCAGCAGCGGTAGCAGTAGCAGTAGCAGTAGTACCAGTACTAGCAGTAGCAGTAGCACCAGCAGTAGCACTAGCAGTAGTTTTAGTAGCAGCAGTAGAAGTAGTCGTAGTAGTGGTCGTCGTAGTAGTAGTAGTAGTAGTAGTAGTAGTAGTAGTCGCAGTAGTACTAGTAGTAGTAGCAGTAGCAGCAGTAGCACTAGTACTAGTCGTCATAGTAAAGGCACACCATTCCTTCTTTCATGCCTCGAGAGCGCACAGCTCCTTCGATGACTCGCTCTGGGCAACCCAAGAGGCACACCACACTGGCAGCCCTCAGAAATCACAAACACTTAATCCAACGACTCCAAAGCATTGGCCAGCTCAATCTCGCGGTCAGAAGAGGAGCGGCGATCTTCGTATTGAATCATGTCGGGCTGCGTCGCATTCCCGCCTCCTGTAAGAGAACTCGGCAGTGTAGCCTGCGAACTCTGCCCGCCGGAATACTTTCCCTCCTCCTCCGAGCTGGACAAGACCTCGATCAGCACCTGCTCACCAAAGCCAGTGCCACTGCCTGGTCGCGGGAGGCCAGCACTATTGCCACCATCGTTGTTTCCAGCTGGGAGAGGAGCCGAACCATTGCTTTCTGTGCCTCCAAAGCTTGAGGGGCCATTCCAGGGATGGAAAAGATTATTGCATCGCCGGCTGTGCCTGATGTTGGGACCGTTGGCTCGTGCACATCCTGAGCAACATGCTCTATATGCATTGCTAGCGAATCGCGGGCAATTCGGAGTGCAGCAAGGAGTGAAGTTCGATCGCGTCGTCAAGCCAGACCGCAGGAGGTTTCTTTGCAGGTGTCCGCACTTGCGACTATGCATTCCACCCTGACTGTCCTGGCATAATGAACAGCATGCATGCCCACTACGACCAAGGTGATAGTAGGAGCAACCGTCCACAGCACAAGGAACCAGCCGATCACGAAATGAATTGCGGGAGAAGCCGCCAGGCATGAGACTCAGCACAGAGGAGCACTGCAATACCCACACCCCAATGGGGCCCGCTTGGCCGACTTCAGCCAAAATGCCTACGAGAGCGAACAACAGCAGCAGCAGCAAACAAGTACGCCTGGTCCCACTAGTAGCAGTAGTAGTAATAGTAGTAGTAGTAGTAGTAGTAGTAGTAGTAGTAGTAGCAGTAGTAGTAGTAGTAGCAGTAGTAGTAGTAGTAGTAGTAGTAGTAGTAGTAGTACTAGTATTACTAGTAGTCGTATTAGTACTACTAGTGGACATAGAAGTAGACGAAGAAGTAGTAGTACTCGTAGTAGTAGCAGTACTAGTGGTGGTGGTAGTAGTAGTAGTAGTAGTCGTAGTAGTAGTAGCAGTACTAGTAGTAGTATTGGTCGTCGTCCTCGCAATTGTACTGCTGGTGATACTTCTTGTGTCCGTCCTCGGAGTCGTAGTTCCAGTAGTGGTAGTAGTAGCAGCAGTAGTAGTAATAGTAGTAGCAGCGGCAGCAGCGATGGTCAAATCATTGAATAATAGTTCTCGTCTAGGATTCAGAATCTAGGAGTAGGAGTTGAATGGGAATAGCAGCACTAACCGTGGCACAAGCGGTTGTCGTTGTGGTTTTTGTTGTACAAGACTGAGATACTTCAGGGATTATTAGGCTTTGTTCTAAAAATTGCAGGTCGGGTGTGCGAACGGGATGTACAATCAATGTGTGGGAGCGGCCCTTTGCCCAAAGCCAGCAGACCAATCCCTAAGACAACAGACCAATCAGAACCCAGGCATTGGCAAAACCACGAAACAAACTGTCCTCCGAACGTTCTTCGCGGAGGCCATGCGGAGAAGCGGCGCCGAGGCTCTGCTGCTGTGCTGCTCTGCTGCACTACTACTGGACCCTCCGTTCTGAAATTAATTGCCACGGAAAAGCGCTACATGCCGATCCAAGATTTCACATTCCTCTCCCACAGTGACAGACCCTCTTGACCCTCTTGCAACATTTTCCAGACCCAGCAGCTTCAAGATCTCAGGTACTCTTCGGATTACAAGCGGCGACCCCGGCCGCTGGTAGGTGCAATCCTTCGGAGCGAGGCAAAAAGACCTGGGGCAAAAGGAAGGGAGTGGGGCCGACTTCAGAGAATCGCAGACTGATGTCTTGAGAAGACTAGCATGAATAGCAGTGTGTATGTTTCTCAGCCAAGAATCCAGGAGACTCCCATCGGCTCGCTCCTGATTCCCCAAGCCCTCCTCAGTGATTCCAGTCAAGGCTTAAGACCGCCCTCATAATACCACGAAACCCCAATTCATTATGGTTCAAACCCCCCCACAGAAAAATCGAACGATTTGTGCAGCTGACACCATTCCGATCCAGAACACAGCCGGGCACAGCATAATAATAAGTCCGCTTCCAATCGCGCTATCGTGGCCCATCCTTTGCTTTACATAATCGAATAAATCATGAAACTGAGAATCCCATTGTGATTGTACGGTTGTTCGTAGCCGAGCATCAGATACCGTCCATGTTTCCAGTATCAGCCAAGGGTTTCCCATTCTGCCTGAGCAAACAGTCATAAACCCAAGCAGAGCAAAGGCCGCGACTGAGCCAATGAATACAAGTCGAAGCCCATGTGCTATTGGAGCCGTTTCAGAAAAACACAGAAACAATGCAGTCACGGCACCGCCGAAGCCGTCACGGGTGGCAGGGGACGTGTGACGACGAAGTCGTGTTCCTGGCGGAGACAAAAGAGTAGAATAGAAAAATAATGAAGCCAAGACTCAGGACTGACCAATCTGGTACCCCGAAACCATATTAGATATATTATTTGGACCCTGGCCTCGAAAACCAAGTCGTGCGTGACACGTCTCTGCTTGAGCTTAATAGCCGGTGCCGGGATAGGACCGAACCATTGGTCCAAGTCCTCAACTGAAGAAATGAACCCCTCTTGGCACACAATGGCACGGCTTCTGTTATTTGCGGGCGGGCGGCTTGATCGACAAGGTTCTTTGCTATCTCATCAAACACACCCACCCAGTTCACTGACCGCAAATTGGTCTGTCGATGGCGTATCATGACAATATCCAGGACCTCAGTTGCATTCTTTCATGGAACGACTGAATCTTCCTAATGCTTCAAGCTCGTTGAATCAAGCGGCCACAAAATGGAAGGTTGCAGATGTCTCGTTTCCAGCCGATGTCAAAGGCATCGCGTCCAACCGGTCCGGTGCCTTCATCAATGCGAACCTGAGTCGGCGAAAATGAAAGATAGGGAATTCGACCTTATTCAGGAATGGATTGTGGCCTCGACTCGAGCTTGACTAGGAGTCTTGACTTCTTGACAGGCAGCAGGGGCCTCATACGTCCGGCCGCATACTTGATGCCCTTCAGGAGCAGCCGGTCTGTCCCCACGAGGATTGTTGGGTAAGGGAGGTAGGCACCGAATGATCCCATGCTGAATGCAACCGCCATCGCATTCTCCTGAACGAGAAGGATTTACTGCCTCAAGCCTTAGCCGAAAATAGTACAGCTCCCCAGCAAATCGAGACCAGTCCTCCTGCCGCAGTCGAAGAAACCGGTCGTTGAACCGGTGCGGAAACTGCACCACGGATCGTACACCGATCGCTGCACACAGCTGCATCAAATCTCGAGTGAAGTCCTGAGTTCACGAACTGTGGCTCACTTGCTGATTTTGCCTCATTCCTCAATCAAAACCAGTCAGGTCTCGACAATCGTCCTCAATTCATCATTCGAGACATCTGTGCACATCCTCCAAAGCAGGAAAAGGCAATCTTCCTCATAGATCAACATGACCGAAAAGGACAGCTACATTGCATCGAGCCACGGGAAAACGTAGAGCAAGGCGCCCAGGTAAAGTCGAGAGCACATCTCGAGACCTGGTGGAAAGTGAAATCGCCCAAGTACTTTAGATGTACATTCATCAGCAACAACAGGCTGCAAGCGAGAGGCAGGTGCTCTGATCGTCGAAGAGCTCCGAAGGGTTCAAGTGACAGGACGGCAGGCCTTCCTGAGACAAGGGCATATGCGGCATATTGTTATGGATTCAATCAGAAGCTTGATGCAAAACGACTGAATCATGCCAAAGTTCTCTGGTGAATGCTTCATTCATTAGAGGCGAGCCGATCACCAGACACTGTATGAACCGCTCTCGACGGAAAAGAACCGAAGACGGCACATCGTAACCGTCTTCAAACACCCAACCACAGCAGCCGCGAATCCGCTCTCGCAACGAGGGGTCCATTGTATCTAATAAATACAACTCTT